CGGCGCGGCCCTTTTGAAAGTGCGCCATCGCGCAGGGCGGGCCGCTCCGGCCTCCCCGTGTCCGCGCCTTCGTTTTCCACGACAGCTCGATAACCGCGAGAGCGTCGAGGCGAGGCGATGCAGCGGTGACGTGCTGAGTGCGACCGGCGAGGGGGTGCGGGTACCCGCGCAGCGCCCCCGCCCCGGTTATCTCCGCCGCTGCCCAGGCGCTCTCCTCAGGCTTCACCCGGTCGGTGCCAGAGCAGGGCTGCGTGCCACGGCCTCTCTCGCCCGCTCTGCCGCACTTCTGCCCGAAGACACGTATCCATCCACCCTGAGGAAACGTGGGCCTCTTGCTTACAGAGGGAAAATAATGTGCTGGTTCTCTTTTCCAGCGCTAAATAATAGCTCCTTTTGCGTGCAGGGGCCTTTGGGAAATGCTTTTATCTTGATTGGGGGCATCAGGGGAAGAAGTCAGTTTGACTGGCCTCAGGGACTATGTCCATTAAGAGAAAAAAATCATGAAGTTGGTGATAGATGCCAAAAGATCAGTAGGCATTTTTAAAGACAGTCCCTCTGTGTACAAGTGTTTGAGATTGGTGGGGCCTGTTTTCAGCCTTCCTGCACTACTGAGAAAGCTAGACCCCCTTGTAACTGCCAGTTGCTGTAGGATGCTGTAGAGAAAGAGCTGCAGGAGGCTTAGCTAGCTCTGTGCAAAGCCATAGAAGCACCTACTTCACTTTTGTTCTGTTTTCAATCTATAGGAAGGAAAAGTATAGATTTACAGCTTCTGTGTCCATTTTTTTTCTGTTATGAAAAAAACAGCTTAAATGCCATTTGTTGGCAGATCCAAAAGTCATGCCTCAAGATTAAAGGCTGTGGCAAATACAGGTTGAGCTTGGTGTATAAAGAATGAAATCATTCTGTATGTAAATATTATTTGTTGTAAATACATTATCAAACGCTTTAGGTTGTTGATGCTTCAGCTTTTTGGAGCAGTGCTTAGTCAAAAGTATCTTGCACTGGGCTTTAAAACATTCACAAAATCACGTAATTATTTCTGCAGTATGATGTTGAATGTACTGTTGCACATAGCTCACCTGCAGAGAAACCTCCACTAGCGAAACTAATAAAGCTCACAATATATGTGATACATGCTTTACGTGCATTGCTCTGAAGAAATTCTGCAAGTTTTTTCTGACAAAGCCATATAAAGTTGGAAACTGGGAGAATCTGGTTCTTACTATCTGCTGGAGAAGAAAGGTGAATTGCAAAGGCTAGTGCAATATTGATGCTGCAGATGCTACTGCTCGTTGAATTCAGAGGAGGTTTTTTCCCCCAGATTGCCAGGAAATTGCTGCAGCGCTTAGCTGGGCACAGGAATAAGATGTGTTTTACATGATCCTTATTCAGAACTTTACAGTGCAGAATTTTTTACAGCATTAGAAAGTGCATGGATTTATTAACCTCATGCCTTATTTCCAACAAGGCTAGAATACTGTTCCTAGTTACTGCTGTGTGTGTGAATGCCAAGCAATAACAGCCCCAAACCTTTGCAGTCAAGGCTATTTCTAAGTATTGTGTTATTCAGCACTTTTTTTACTAGAGGGCAGCAGAGCCTCGAAGTTAGTGAATTCCCTGAAAATGGTTTAGGTTCAATTTTACTACTTCTTTAGGAGAGGGTTGGTAACATCTATAAATTAATATATGTGTGTATGCCAGCTTTATTTTTCATTTTCACAAAAGTTGCCTGGGAGGATTACTCACTAGTCAGTTTGAGAGGACAGGGCAGTGTTAGTGCTCTTGCTCAGAGAGTTGGAGGATGGGATTCCCAGACAGCCAATATGGATTATTTGCCTCTGCTTGTTTTACATTCCAGGGATGTAACTTGCTTATACACCCCTCCCAAACACTCCTACCCTGCCGTCTCTGTCAGCTAAGCTGCAGTTTGTAGATATGACTAAGAAAAATACTAACTGTTTTTTAACTTGTGACATAATAGTGAGAGTTATCAAGATCGCTAGAAACATTGTTGATTTATCCATTAAGACTTTGCGGGAAGGCTTACAGTTTGTCACCAAGGTGCTGACAGATGAAACTAAAGCTTTTCAAAACCTGATTTAATAGCTCTCTTGGCTGAGTTAAATTGAGTTCAGTCTCCAGCCTTCAAACACCCATATGCTTAAATCTATTAATTTGCTCTTGCAAATAGACCCCGTTACTTCAGCAGTAGCATTGTTGATTTCAGTGGGAAAGCTCACAGTAATAAAGGTATGAATGCATTTAAGTATTCTGAAAAATTAATTTGTCTTTCCTAGCAGAAGACCCCCTTATTGATTATAGTTCTAGGAAAAGGCTTTGTTTAAAGTTGTTGAAACAAATTAATTGATACCCCAGAATCTCAATACCTGCTCCCGTCTGCGCATGGGGTCTATCCCAGGTCAAGAGAAAAAGATTTCTTGAAATCCTTCGTTGCCAGTGCAAGAATGTTAAGATTTGCTCTTCCAAATCCTTTATTATACTATATGCGTGTATCCCAGCCTTAGTCACATCTCACAGGAGTGTGTGAAACCTGCAGATATGGGCAAGGAGCAGACTTTGGGCCATATAAATTGTCCTGCCCTGTTTTTTTCAGGGGATGGCAGTTTTCTCCCACAATGTGGCTGAAAATTGTTTCCTCTATGCGTAAGAAGAAAAGAGCAAGAGTGCTAACGCTTAGCGCTAGTCACTAAAGTAGTTGAAGCCTTAGGCCACAGTCAAGGCCAGCTGGAGCCTTTTTTTTACGGAACAAGGAATATTGTAACCATTGCAGATAACAGTCACAGAGGTAACCTAAAGAAACCCCTCCCAGCAACAAAGATTGCCAATGGACCGCAAGAAAATGAATAAGAGAAGTTGAGATTGGTTAATAGGGATCAGACTATAGGGGGGGTTGCAATCGGGTTGTAACGGGATAAACAGAACCAAGAATCTGTGGGTGGCATTCCCTCCTTGGAGGCACCCAGCTTAAGCTGTACCTTTATTATGCATAATAAACCTTTTTTTGTTGTTTAGAAAAACATTTGATGTTTAATTGGGAAAATAAGTGGAGAGCTACGTTGAGCCAAAACGGTTGGAGGTGGCGACTGCATAATTCCTGTAACACATGTCTGCCAGCAGCCTGGCCTCCCTTGTCAGATGAGAGTCATTTGATGGAGGTGTCTTCCCTCCTTACAGAGGAGACCGTGAACAGAGTTTGCCATTATCACAAAAAATTCAGGCAAGTTTCCTACCTTTGGGGAAATGGCAAGAGTCAGCATACCCAAAGTGCAAGAGACAAGCTTTTCCCTTGGGAAAAACACCTTCATGATCATGGTGTCTCCCCTGTCACGTGGCTGCTTGCCCAGTTCCTTCCTGTGGTGTGTGGAGGATAAGAATACCGTGTTACATGACTGGGTACCCGCTGTCACAGAGTTTAAATGCAGGGCCTCCTACCCCCAGGATCCAGTCGGGGTGGACCCATTGTATAATGGAGAACACAGGGGCTCGGTCTTCTCACACATGCACCTTCAGTTATGCTCTGCGGTTGGATGCAGAGTGCATAACCCTGCCCTGCTTGCATATGAGGCTGTGTTACCCAGCCCAAGCAGCCGGTTCCCAGCTCCAATCGGGTAGCAAAGGGCAAGAGCATCCCATCACTCTCAGTTCATCTCTAAGTAACTTGCAAGCACATCAGACCCCCGCAGCTGCCCAAGAAAAAGAAGAAACGTAACATGGAATCAACATACCGGGTCTATGAGTTGTCTGTGCTGATGCAGCCAAGACTGTTATTTCAATTAACGTTAAGTCTTTCTATCCCCAAAGCTTATGTGAAGCCCAAATTAATTTGTTTCTCATATCATCTTACGCAGTCTTAATATGGGGTCATAACTGTATCACATGCTGTCCTAGTTTTTTTCCAGGCAGATATTTCTAACATGAACTTTGAAGGACCGCATATGAAAATACAGCCTCATAAAGGCTATTTCAATGTAAACAACAACAACAAAAAAGGATCTAGTACATTTATCTAACAGTGATAGCTGATACCAAATTCTTACCCAGCACTTTCCATTAGTAGGTCTCAAAACACTTTACAAAGGTGGTCACTGACATTGTTCCTGTTCATACATGGTTTCCTGAGACGCAGAAAGGGAAACGTTTACCCCAGACCACCAGCAAGGCTGAGAATTGAAGCCATTGCGTCTTTCGGCTAGTGCTCCACTTCCTAGACCCCACTGCTTCAGAAATTCATGAATATTCCCTGTTTTTTACAAGGTACCCATCATCTGTCAGACTTGCACATTTTGCAAATTTACTACATGTAACACCTAAATGTCCGTGACTGCGCCGACCCGAAACTCATGAAATTCAGCAGTGACAAATTCAAAACCTTGCCCCGGGAAGGAACAATCCTGTGCATTTATATTGACTGGGGGCAGCTCTGTAGACAAGGCCCTGGGAGCCTGGAGGACAGTAGGCTGTTTAGCCAGCAGTGTGCCCTGGCAGCAAAGATGGCCAGCAGCATGCTGGGCTATATCAACAGGAGCACAGCTAGGAGACCAAGGGGAGGGATTATTCCCCTTTACTTGGCTCTTTGTAGTCTACGCCTGGAGTACTGCATGCAGTTTTGGGCTCCTCAGTAAAAGAAAGATATGGATCACCTGGAATGAGTCCAGTGGAGGGCCCCCAGGACAGTCCGGGCTGGAGCATATAACTGAGATTGTTCAGCCTGGAGAAAAGAGGGTGGGGGGGGCCCTGAAAGCAGCCATCCTATACGTAGGAAGAGGTTTCTGAGAAGAGGGAACCAGGCACTTTACGGAGGTGCACGATAGGAAAACAAGACAGGGGTCACAAACTGAAACGAGGAGGTTCTGACTTAATATGAGGAAAGAAATTTCCCCATGAGGACAGACAAGCAATGGAGCACGTTGCCCAGAGGGGGTGTGCTGGCTGCATCTTTGGAAGTTTTCAAAACCCACCTGCACACAGCCCGGAGCAGCCAGGTCTGACCCAGGAGCTGGCCCTGCTTTGAGCAGGAGGTTGGGCTGGAGCCCTTCCAAGGTCCCATCCAACCTGAGTGATTCTACGGGAAGCTCAGGTTGTTTTAGACCTGGAGGTGCTTGGTTATGTCTTTTTCTATCTGAGTAAGACACAGCCTCAAAACAAAATTGGCAGCAGATTTCAATTCTTAGCATACAATGTATAGACAGAATTTATACTGATACTTTCTAAAACAGTCATTTCACATTTTCTTTGTTCATTAGTCAGTGTTTACTGAATTGGTTTGATGAGTCGGCGTCATTTTAAATACCTCCTTGTAAAGTGTTATTGCAGTCAAAACTGCCCACCCCATAATGGCTTTTCCTGGCCAAATCAAATAGATTTACAGAAGTCTGAGCTTTCTCTTAGCAGGTACCACGTCTCTGGCTGCTGAATATGTTAAACAGCTCAGTAAATGAATGTTACAACATAGCTCTTGTTACCTGATGTTGAGAAAACATCAGAGTATAGCAGGCTAGGAAAGTGCTCTGTGATACTAGAAACATTTTCCACACTGTAGGACTTCAACAAAGAATATCCATTGAAAAGAGAGGTATCCAGAAAAGAAATATATGCAAACATTTGCCCATCTTTGTTGTGCACTGCAAGCGGGTCCCCTTTTTCATTGTTGCTGCTGCTGTAGATGGTTACACTCTGCTCTGGAAATTGTCCCTTGACCTTGTTGTTTACCCGGAGCTTTCGCAGTCCCCAGATGGCCAAATATTCTGTCGGGAGAGGAGTGGTGCCACAGAAGGAGAGCTTCAAATCACATACCCTTGTAAAGTTAAGGAGCATCTCCAGCACAGAGGTGTCTGTGAACCAAATGGTCAGGTTGCTGTGGTAGCTCGTTTTCTCCATGGTGGAAGGCAACACTGTTTTGCAATTGCACATCAAGTTTGCCAGGCTGTAATCACAATCACGGATATCTGCCAAGCAGCTGCAGTTGCGAATTGTGCTTTCCCTGGTGAAAATGAGCGTATGGTTCTTCTGACTTCTCACAAACCTGTTAGTAATGCATAAGCCAAGGAAGCCAGCCAAAAAGAGAACCAGCCAAAAAGAGAAAGTGTAGAAGGGTATTGGCTTCATTAGTACAGGTGTCAAGCTGCCAAGCGTCTTCTCTTCTTTTACACAATGAATTATATTGCTTGCCTTTACCTACTAAGGAAAAACAATTTCTTTATTACACTATAGACCACTCAATGATTCACACAACTTCACTCTTCCTACTCATTATCTCTCTCATCTATTTAGAACCATATTGCAATTTTGCAGACTGCTCTGCATTAGAGGGGAAGCACAGCTACACTGATCCGGAAAAAATGAGTTATAACTCACATTTAGGATTCTCCTTTTACTCCCCACTTGCTCTAAATTGTTTTATCTGTTTATAGGACAGGTTGAACACCCTCTTCTCTATCCAGGCAGCTCCGCAGCCTGCCCAGTTGAAGGTAAGGGCAGTACGCCTCCTACTTATTTCTCCATTCTGTTTTCTCTTTGTCTGCTTCCCAGCAGACGGGTAGCAAATGACCCTGTTCACCCCAACCAGTGAGGCAGTCTGAGAAGGGCCAAAGACAGAGGCTGGAACGTGTTTGTTACATACTTCTACGGCTAAGTAAGGGCTGGGATAACCCTCACTTTAAAGTGGGATATCCTGGTCAAGGGGGAGAACAGAACGGGTGGCCAAGGGCAGAAACAGTACCTGATACAGCACATATCTTCCTGAGCAATGTGATATGGTAACAACCTGTTGCCTAATACATCCTGCTTTTCATCCATATGAAGCTCCACCTGACCCTACATTAGCCTGTAGGTTTTGGGGCACAAGGACCATCTCTTAATGTGTCCCTGCACAGCAACTAGCATAGGACAGATCCTGGCTTTGGTTGCTTGCACTGGCCCCCTTCCATTATCCTGGCAAAGCAGAGTAGCACCTGCATGCAGACTTCTAGCAATGGAGCATATTTCCATCCCTGTCCATGCTCCATCTATGTCAAATGGTGGGGAGCAGATTTGGCAGAGACTCTTGGACTTTCAGCTATGACCCTGTGGTTTTCAGAGCACAGTTAGATCTTGCCAGAAGCATTTGGGTTCTCCTAGCGTATTGTTGAATGATGGTACAAGCAAAGACAAACAGTGTCATTTCTCAGCACTGATTATAAGATGTTGGAAAATTTGTCCGGTAAGACTGTAATTATTTTGAAGCATCAGGAGACATTAGAGCCAAATTTTGCCCAAGGGCAGCAAGTCCTAGTGAAGGCACCAATGGGAAAGAATTTAGCCCTTAGAATGTGAAAAGATTGTTCCATGTCCAGAATATGTGTCCAGCACCTCTAAAATATGGCATTCCAGCTATAGGTTTGTAGAA